TAATTATCTCATAGGTGTTGATATATCGCTAAACAAAATCAAAAGCAAAAACCACTCCATCTCACAATTGTGCTTCATGGTAACATTCAAAGCGGAATAGTGCAATGGCTTGTCAGTTCCATTTGCACCGGGGATGTTATTGTTACCCTCGTCCATCCTCTCAGAGGTAGATCTCTTACTGAAGTTACCTTCTTCTAGCCTTTGCCTCAAGAGGCAAGACCCGCAAAATAGCAGGTGGTTCGAATTCTGAATTTCTTTCTCCTAGACTGGTTGCCACCCAAGACTATAAGACACAGTCTATCCTGCTATTTTACCCAAAGCTGGGGGATAAAAGATGGATTCTTACCTTTCCTACGGATATTAGCACGTAATGAACTCGATTGAAATTTCAAAGCAGAATAGTGCAAAGGCTTGCAGGTTTCTTTTGCATCGGGGATCCTCTCAGAGGTGGATTTCTTTTAAAAGTTACCTTCTTCTAGACTTTGCCTCAAGATTCAGGACCTACAAAGCAGCAGGTAGTTTGAATTCCTTCTCCTAGACTGCTTATAGGACCAAGTCTTTCCTACTATTTTACCCATAGATGGGAGAGAAAAGATGGATTCTTACCTTTCCCAATGATATTAACACGTAATGAACTCGATTGCTATTCAAGGCAGAATAGTTCAATGGCTTGCCAGTTCTATTTGCACAGGGGATGTTGATATCACCCTGTCCCTCGGCAGAGGTAGATTTGTTTTTGAAGTTACCTTCTTCTAGCCTTTGCCTAAAAAGGCAAGACCTAAAGGACAGCAGGCTGGCTTTAAATACAGAGTTTCCTTCTCCTAGACGGGTTGCCACCCAAGGTTATAGGACACAGTCTGTCTTATTATCTAATCCATAGCTGAGGATAAAACAATTATGAGTCGGAAAATGTTCATTCGTATTGGAAATGCTTAACGTAAGAGTTCATTTTTCATTTTTTCGTTCAACAACCCACCATTAGCCTTTGATATTTCGAGTTTCATATATATATATATATATATGTGTGTGTGTGTGTGTGTGTGTGTGTGTGTGTGTGTGTGTGTGTGTGTGTGTGTGTGTGTGTGTGTGCAGAAACCCAGAATGCGCAAACATATGGTAAAATAAACATTTAGGTACAAGTTTAAAGATTGGTCGCTTATAAAAATACTTTTACCCAAGCAGAATGTTATCTTTCTGACGCAAAAAGCAAGCAAACGCTATTAGGCTTTTCGCGTAGAAAACACGTTTTGTTTTCGCTCGCCGTCGGTTTTACTGCCCCAAATATTGATCCACATTCATACAGGCCCAACCCTAATAATTAGTCCGCCTTTCGGTATTCACTTGACTTTAATCACATCTAGTACAAAGTGACACCTGTGAAGCACTAAGTTTAGCATCGAATTCATTATCGTACTAATGGCTTTTATGGTTCACCTTACAACGAACGCATCACGGCAGACTGCATTGTAAATTAATATGTACTTATTCTGTGTTCTATCATAACGTTGATGATGATGGTTGTAAACATCTCTCTGTCCTTTGTAGCGCTTAGTAAATTTGATCTTTTTGCTATATCGCATGATTTGTGTCCTGCCAACCATTATATACGTTATACACTGCCTTCCTATGACCCTTTTAACTTCCATATATCCTGTGTCAAATTTTCCAAGACCTCTTTTCTCATTATATTCCCTAAGAATTTTATCAGTCTCTTTCTGGTGCTATGTATAAGCGTCCTTTTTTGTTTTCATTTTCTGTAAAAGTTTGTCCTTGCTCACGTGTTCAGTTTATGGTATCCCCAGCAGCCTTCTGTAGAACCATCTTTATGTTGCTTCAAGTCTTTTTTCTGTTTGTGATCAGATACCACAACAGTCGCTGCCATATAGCAGACCGATATTAATTTGCAGTTCAGTACTCTTTTCTTTGCTTCCTGAAGATATTCCTTTTTGTTAATATTTGGCTTAGCTTTTGGAAGGCATTTTTCTCTATTTTGGAATTTTATCAGTCTCTTTCTGATGCTATGTATAAGCGTCCTTTTTGTTTTCATTTTCTCTAAAAGTTTGTCCTTGCTCACGTGTTCAGTTTATGGTATCCCCAGCAGCCTTCTGTAGAACCATCTTTATGTTGCTTCAAGTCTTTTTTCTGTTTGTGATCAGATACCACAACAGTCGCTGCCATATAGCAGACCGATATTAATTTGCAGTTCAGTACTCTTTTCTTTGCTTCCAGGAAATATTCTTTTTTGTTAATACTTTGCTTAGCTTTTGGAAGGCATCTTTCTCTATCTCATTGCGCCTTCGTATTTTGGTATTGCATTTTCTATCCTCTAATAAAACACATCCTGTGCGCAAGTTATGAGTTCATGTCCTCCAGTGAGGATCGAAACCGCTGCAACTGTTTTTTTTTCTACAGTTATTTTTATATATTTACATAACACTGGATGTTTGTTTCTTGAGTGAAAGGAAATTGAATACAGTAATGCATTGTGATACGAGTTGGATTCGTTCCAAGACCGAGCTCGTAATTCAGAACACACGTATATCACATCAATTTTCCCTACTGAAATTATTGGGAATATTTCCGATCCATTCCAGGCCCCTAAAGATCACCCTTATTTTCCTAAAACTCACACCTATTTTTGTATTTGTGGGTTTCTTACAAGAAAAAAACCTGTGAATAAACAATAAATGTCGTTTGCAAACAATAAAATAAAAGAGAAAAAATTGTAAAGAAATAAACTGTACTAAACCATGAAATTCAGACGAGTCATAGGTCAACTGGCAGAGGAGAAAGAGAGAGAGAGAGAGAGAGAACAGATAGGCTAGCAACCGCTAACCTAGCCTAGCAACGGCTAGCCTCGTCTTCGATACTGAAGAGTAACTTTATCATTTAATTTTTAATTTTTTTTAAACATTTTATTCATTACTCTATTTTTTTTTAAATTTAAATTTTATAATTTTTTATTATTCATCGAGGTACAAAGCTCATACAGTCTCGCCAAATCCATTACTCATACATCTTCTTCATGATTTTAAATATAATTTCCCGCTTTACTTCTAGCGAAATCACACGTTTCGGCTTTTCACCACTGTTCTTTACACTTACTTTCTTCGGAGCCATAGTGTCACTAAAGGAATTTTGCAAAATTACGGCAAAAAAGACAACACAACACAACACAACACAACACAACACAACAACGATCCTTCCAGAGCGAGGTGAACACATGTACTACGAGTGGAAATACTCTCGAAGATTGGCGCCTGCTGCAAAAACTGTCGGATGCTTAACTGAAATTCTCTCGTATCTCAAAATCCAGCTCGTATCTCAAGACAAATATTCGGCCGAACTCCGGCACGAATCTCAAAAATCTCCTATGTCGGTACGCTCAAGAATTAAGTAAATTATACAATTCACGATTTTTCCAGCTATGACGAGCGGTTGAATTCTTAATAATCTTCTTATCTTGAACGTTTATTGAGACTCAACTTTACCCTAGATGTCGTGTGTAACTTATATGTACGATCCCATGGCTAAAATGGTGGAAAAATAGTCGGTTCCCAGTGCCAGTCCAGAAAGTACTTGACCTCTTCTACCATGGTCTGTCTTTACAAGCGTCAGATCAGGTAAAAAGTGGAGTATTACTGCCATATATGGGCTGGGAGCTCAAAAAGCGGTAAAATGCAAAGAATGGTTAAAGGCAACGGTAAAAATGACAAAAGTGGATAAATAGAAAAAATGGCAAAAGTAGATATTCATCTATATTTTTTTCCTTTTGCCATTTTTACCTATTTATCCATTTTTGACATTTTTACTGTTGCCATTTTTACCCTGCCATTTTTACCGCTGCCATTTTTACCGCTGCCATTTTTACCAAAATTCATAGGCTGGAGCTGCCCAATCCTCATATTCCAAGGTTAAAAGCGTTTATGTGGCCTTGTGGTGATGAATGATTTTCAACTCTACAGACCGTTTCCCCGCAAATGAAACGTCGCAGAGCTATCACTACACTGGTGCAATTTCCATGACAAATTCCTTCGTTCCACCAATTCAATTCATTAGAACTAAAACCCGACATGTCACGTTCACAGACTCGAATCAAGAACAGACTCCCGAGAGGATAGTTCCGTCATGACTACAAAAAAAAAGATAAAATATCGGTTACGCAGCCCCATCTCCTTTATTTACAAATATCTTATTTCATTATTATTGAAAGAACGATACATGGCTTTTGTTACCATATCGAAGAATCAAATAAATAATTACAACAGGCTGCTAACACAGTATTTTTATTTTCTTTGTTCCGTGTTTGAATAATTTTACATCATTGATAAAAAAAACTCTTACATATACATGAGAGTTTATACTTGTATAGAAAACAATCCTATATTAAATATTCAAATCTATAACCAATAAAATTGCAGCATTACTTAAATAGTGCGCCATTTTAAAAGGTGTTTCTAAATTCGTATACAATGAGCAAATCATTTCATGTTGCATAACACATCTTCTTCATATAAAAGGCATCTTTGAATTTAAATTCAATAAAAAAAAAAATTGAAAAAACTTCAATAAATGTGAAAGAAAAAATAAAGTACGATATGAAATAAATTGTGGAAATGCCCACAAATACTATAAGCGTTAAACATAAAATCAAAAAACCCCAAAACAATAAAATGCTTTTTAAATTCAGGAACAAACGTATTAAATCTATTTCATTAAAAAAATAAGAAAAAAAAAAAAAAAGGTGCGAAACACGAAGTGTAACGGGAAGAATTGATGTTTGAAAAGAATGAAATGAACATAGCACAAAAAAAAAAAAAGAAAAAACAATTTCACAATAACTTATGAAAGCCGGAAGTATTCAGATATTTTAACACTTATAATTAAATAGGAACAAGAAACCAGGAAAATTTTCAGAAATATAGAAAAAATCAAAAAATCCCCAAAAATCCAAAGAACTTTCCTTGATCTTTAACCAAAATTGTACAAACGAAAAACAGCGTTTCAAATTCTTTCTTTCTTTCTTTCTTTCTTTCTTTAATTCTGTTCCTATCTATCTATCTATCTATCTATCTATCTATCTATCTATCTATCTATCTATCTATCTATCTATCTCGTACTATTCATTATCTATCTATCTATCTATCTATCTATCTATCTATCTATCTATCTATGCGTATTAGTTGAATGAATAATAGTACCAGAATAAAAGTGGAGAAATGAGTCCCGGAGACGCGAAATGTGCTGTCATTAAAAAAAAGATTTTCTAACTGATTTTGAAGGACAGCGATGCAGACGACCTGACGAAGAGGGCTATATTTTTTATTATACATTCTATAATTTTCAGAAATTTCATAGTTCATATTCATCATATTATTTTTGGTTGCTCCAACATATCAGCTGATCAATTCTACAATATAACTGTAGGTAGATGATTAGCTCAATCTGACACATGCTTATGGTAATGGGGAGGGCATATGATATAAACGATGCACACTATATTTGCAAATTAGTCTCTTAGAAGAGCTGGTTAAACATGGCGTTACAGTTGACGCCCATGATCGTTCACTTGTGTGCGCGCCTGGGGATGATGACTCTTTTTAGAAATGGCACTTGTTTCGCGATCCACTCCACTTTCTGACACAAAACACACACACCACGCGAAAGCTGCGCTTCCTTTGTAAGAGTATCAGTTCCCTTATGTCAATAAACAGACTAGACTGAAAAAATCGCCTCTGTTTTAAACGGTGTGAAACACTAATAAACAGTTCGTAATGGATCCTTCTTGCAGTTGCTATTTTTTGTTGGACCAGCCCGCTTGAGGTTTCCATTTCGACTGATTTTTTGTAGCGCTTCCAAGTAGAATGTAAATACAGACTCACCTTCTCATTACTCACGCGTGTAATCACACACGAATTCTTTCAGATGCGTATTTGTTGACGTTCATATCAAGAAACAGATATATAGTATCGTAAAGCACGTTTGTCCCGCAAAAAGATCTGTTTATCTATCTATTTAGCTAGCTAGCTTTGTCTTTTTCTATCTATCTATCTATCTATCTATCTATCTATCTATCTATCTATCTGTTCACATCTATCTCGTTATTTCAATCTGTTCAGGTCTATCAATCTTTTTAACTGTCGACATCTATCTATCTATCTATCTATCTATCTATCTATCTATCTATCTATCTATCTATCTATCTGTTCTCCTCATATTCATCTATCTATCTATCCATTCATCTATTCATCTATCTATCTATCATTCTGCTCATATCTATCATATCTATCTATCTATCTATCTATCTATCTATCTATCTATCTATCTATCTATCTCTTGTTCTCCTCATATATCATCTATCTATCTATCTATCTATCTATCTATCTATCTATTCATTCATCTATCTATCTCGTTCTCCTCATATCTATCTATCTATTCATCTATCTATCTATCTATCTATCTATCTCATTCTACTCATATCTGTCTATAGATAACCGTATTTGAGTAGACCTGTGTTTTTTAAAGAATATTTCCTTCGACAGGTTTCGAACCTGGGTTCTTTTATTTAGGGGAAATCACCGTATAGGTGGACACTTTTTCAATTTCTGACGAAAGGTACATTCTCTTTATTAAAAGCTCTAAATATCCGGGCCTGTAGACGAGAATTAAACTGTTTACAGAAAGAAATATCTACTAAAACACGGGTATCTACGAAATATCACATCGGAATATGAATTAAGAAAAAATACATTATTATTTGCAAAATATTGTTCTAACGTTTCGACCGTTGTGCCCTCCGACCTTCATCAGGTATATGTCAAACCGGCTAACCTAGAGAAAATTCTGAAATTAACCCGTCATTTTATCTACGTGGCTATATTGTTCTCGTTCCACTGCCCATGTTTAGTACTGCTCGATTATTTCCTCGCTCTGTTACTCCTGAGTTCAAGTACACACTGCTCGGCCCAAGGATTGAACACAGAATTACTATGTCATCAAATTCCCGAATCAACGCTTGAATCCATTAGGCTAACGAAAGTAGTCTGCATAAAATATCAGTTGTATACAACCGTTTTTTAAGATCATGGATCAAAAAAGGCTTTCAGATTGTGAAGCCTGACGGTCTTCGTTGAACTCGCGCTACAGAACCACAAATAAAGTACAATAGCAAACAAAAGGAACTATATCAATTGAGGACTGCCAATAGCCGCAACAACTAAAATTAATAGCACATGTTACTCGAAAGAAATAATGACGTAATGAAAATGTTGACATTCCACACTACTTCAAGTAAAAGATTAGGAATGAATGTACCATCACTACTGGAAAGAGCGATAAATATACGTGAGGAATTTATTAGTAAATAGTAAACATTTCAAATTAATAAATGCTAAACAATTCAAATATTATAGATCAATTATAACAAATTTTGTATAGAGATAAGGAAATTGAACATAGAATAGGCTGCGCTAGGGTTAGTTTTGCACAACACCGTAACTTGCTAAAAAACCAAAAACATTAACCTAACAGATGTTTGTAAATAATTTTTTCATACAGAGACATTGATATGAATGTCATGCATAGACCCAGATTCATTCAGAAATATCTAAACTGTCAACCGCTTTTTCCGATTGATAATTAAAAATGGCTTCAGGCGAATGAAGCCTGTAGGTCTTAAGATCATCCTTTATCGAACATCGTCGAATAATTCGGACTTTCAATAACAGCAACAACTAAAATTAATATATATAAGTAGGAGAGAAAATTATGACATAATCAAGATGTTGACATTACACACTACTTCCAACAAAAGGTTAGGAAGGAAACCTCCATCTATAATAAAAAGAGCGCTAACCGTTACTGGACTTGAGAAAACTATTTTCCTGAAAAATTGTTTTAAGATAAAGATTTTATAAATATCAACTGAAAGCAGTACTGAATGCTCGGTCAATGAATACCAAATGTTTCCTTATAGGGAAACGGCTAATATATTACTAACCGTTATATATTTGCACAAAGAGATGTCTACCCGAATACGTCTATCTGCAAATATAATATATATATATATATATATATATATAGAGAGAGAGAGAGAGAGAGAAAAAGAGAGAAATAATGAAATTCCATTAATTCTTTCGAAATTAAAGTTTTTTTATTTTTTTATTGTTGTTATTGTTTTTTATCGTTGTTTTGGAAGTGCGTTTAGTTTTTTATCGTTGTTTTGGAAGTGCGTTTTATATGCAAGCAAACTTTGCCGTACAGAAGTGCGTTTTATATGCAAGCAGTCTTTTGCTGGATCAGACTGTGGTTCTTCCTACAAAGGAGGGTGCAGGTTCGAATCCTACTTTGTTTGAAATAATGCGAAACAGGAACATTATTAAGGAGCAAGAATGAAAGAATAATAATCAAGAAGACTGTAGATAGCGATTGACATTGCATTTCAGTTTATGAAGATTAAAGTTGACTGGAAAGTATGGAGACAGATGGGAGATTGTAAGAAAAAAAAACTGTTAGAAAGAAAATGTAAATTGGTGAGATCTCGTCGTCAGTCTCGTACTGCGCTTAAATTCAAAAAGTCTAGGTACGATTGTAAAGACGTGATCATGACCAGTTGCCATGAATGTATTTATAGAAAATGCACCACGCTTTACGGCGGTGGGAAAGTGACTGAATCCGAGCCACCAGATCAGGAGCAATAATATTGCTGATTCTTTTTTGGATTTTATCAAGGATTTTTAGATAAATAGAAGGAACATCGGACCATATGTAGCAGCAATATTCTAAGTATGGTCAAATGGTAGACTTGTAGATATGGAGGATAGATTCTGGAGAGAAAAATTTGTCTGACTCGTCGTTGTTATATTTGTATCCCCATTAATTTTTCTTATGTTTTCCCGCTTATAACATTGTCTCTTCGCCATATTACTTCCCAATAAGAAGACATTACAAATATAAAGCCATGACACTCTACTGCGACATTAATGTTGATTTTATTAAGCCCCGAGTAACATTAATGAGACACTCTTCAATTCGCCAACGACACAAGCGAATGACCTCTCGACGAACGGGCAGAAATATTCCAAGCATAAATGTCTGGCCAGTATTCGTTTTGTTTTTGTTTATTCTTTTCCTCTCTTGCTGCGTGGTTAACTCGCGATACGCCATTAGGAAAACCACTTTTCCTAGCTTTAATCAGAGAGTATAAATTTCAAAGTACTTACTAGCCTGTCACTTTGAGATAATAGATATGTGGCCGGTCGGTTGGCTCCGTTTGGATGCAAGCCAAATCGTTCGTGAGGTTTTTAAACGGTTTAATACAGTGTGATAATTTCGCATCTCTCCAGAAAGCAATTCTTTGTATCAGATTTAATCAATCTGACGTGACTATGAATTTTGACGTGCCGATAGTAAAAAGAAAATGTAGGGAACACAGCAGAAACATGTTTATGAGATTATAGTGATGTTTGTTCGATGAAAAGTAAGTTAATAATCAACTGAAAAAAGCAGAAAATTGAATATCTATCTATCTATATATCTGTCACTCACTAACTCATTCTCTCTCTCTCGCTCTCTCTCTCTCTCTCTCTCTCTCTCTATATATATATATATATATATTTATATATATATATATATATATAGTCCGCCTCCAAATTGTATAATATTGTAATACTAAATTTATTCAAACATAATGAGATTAATACAAGTTACTTTGGACACTGCAATCATAAGTAATGACATCAGTAAAGAAAATATTGTAATACAGTAAACAGTGTATTCGCAATTTGATAAAACTAGGAAAGACTTTTCCTTTTCTGAAGTGTGTATTCGTTTTGGGTGTGTCATCACTCTGTCTCTTTCTCTCTCTTCTCTCTCTCTCTCTCTCTCTATCTATCTATCTATCTATCTATATATATATATATATATATATATATATATAATGATTATATAAAATGATAAAATATAGTTTTAAGTTATGCTATATATGTGGGTTAAAGTGCTTAATATGAGGGATGGGGCGTAGATAAATTTAAAATGGACATTTAAGTCAACACCCAACGAAGAGCAAGAAAAAAGAAAGAAAGAAAAACAGAAATGATGGTGTTGGTAACTGCTAGGAAAAGGGGAGATGACAGTCTGTTTCATGCTAAACGCAATCGTCATGGCCTGAGGTTTGCGTTTAGCAAGAAACAAATTTGCACACACATACACACACACTCTCTTTCTCTCTGTCTCTGTCTGTCTGTCTGTCTGTCTCTCTCTCTCACACACACACACACACACACACACACACATATATATATATATTAATCGGTTTCCCTCCAAGCAAGTCTCTACAGACACCGACACGCAAGGGCAACAGGGTGTAGAGGAAACATTAGCAATGATTAGAGACAGAAACATTAGCAATGATTAGAGAGAGAAAAAAGTAATCAAGAGGAAATTAGATAGCGGTTGACATTGCATTTAAATGTTTTCAGATTAATGTTGGGTGGAAAGCATGAAACCAGATGGGAGTTCCCCAAGCGAGAAGTGCGAGAAAAGAAACTGTTAGCATAGAATTTGCGGCTACATCTATCTAGCTCAACTGTAAATTGATGAGATCTCACCGCTAGACTAGTATTGCGCTTAAATTCATCCAGTCTATGCTATCATAGCGAAAACCTCCTCTGAACAATTACCATGAAAGAATTTATAGAAAAGGTACAGGGTGGTGGGAATGTGACTGAAGATGAGACGCTAAATCAGTAATCTATAATATTCCTGATTCTTCTTTGCATTTTATCAAGGAGCTCTAGATAAATAGCAGGAGCTCCGGATCATACGTAGCAACAATATTCTAAGCATGGACGAACGGTAGACTTATAAATGTGTAAGATAGATTCTGGAGAGAAAAAATTGTCTTGCACGACACAGTGAAAGAACTTAGCAGCTACGTAGACATGAATTCAATATAGTCTTTCAATTTCATGTCAGCCGAGGACGTTAGCCCGGGAAGGTGCAACAAGTCACTGTCCTGTAGGTCAGCATCACTTATGCTGATGCCGGCTACAGTTGAGTCTCTCAGACGATTAATAGTCAGTAGTTTAGTTTTGGAGATGTTACATTTAACAAGGTATCATTTGCTCCGGTTAACAAGAGACTGAATATCCTTGTGGATATTAGATGCCATTTGGCCATTACTATCGGATTTTATAAACCGATTTTATCTCTTAGTACTATTTCTTATTACACCGCCAGCTCAATTTAAAAAATCTGACCAAATTTCCAATGCATCATTCTTTACGGTGATATTTCGAATGCGCAGGCCGATAGGCGTAATACACCTGTTTAATAAATAAATGAGCGGTGGTGATTTCAAATACGAGTATCCATTAATAATAACATTTGATGTAATACAAATATCGGATTAAAAATAAATTCATTAATTCTTTAGATATTACTTTGTTTACGTTTCCGATGAGGAACTTGGTAGCTATGAAGCTTTCGGGA